CATTTGCATTTCATCATCTTAATTTCATTCCCATAAAACCATTTACATCTCCAGGATGTTCTTGCCCAAATCCCTCCATTTCCTTCCATTTCCCCTTTCCTGCCCCTCCCTCTTCTCACCACACAAAAAAGCAGTCACGGTGCCAATATTGAGCCTCTGGTATGTGGCAGTTTCCGCTCTCTGCCAAGCTATTCCACACATTTAATTCTGAGGTGAAAATACTTTCCTAAGATTTCACTTCTACTCAAGTCTTTGTAAATGACCCCCAAGCACAGTTCTTCTCATGACATTATTTCCACATACCTCATTGTGAGTCACATGCAAAAAAATGCACTGCTGACCACAAATAAAGGCATAGTCTTTACTAGAGACATGACTGATGATGAGATATGAGAATGCAAAACTCCAGCTTAGCTGATTGCATACAAAAACCACTTTTCATTTAGTAACATAAGTGTAGTACGATAAATGGATCTGTAAGATAAGGGGAAAATAACACTTTGATTAAGTTTTCTGAGGTGGTGGTCTCCTGACTACTTGTTGAAGACAAACAACCTCTGCACAAGTAGAAATCTGAACTCAACCAGATTTAATAAAGCTAAAGAAATTATGTGGCTCCTCAGTTTACTAAGTGTTCCCTTCTTTGTCGTTCCTTGTGGAGGAGAACAAGAGAAACAAAAGTTTCTAATAATATTATTTGGACTGCCATGTTGAGTGTGTCTTGATCTTCTTCAATTCTAGAAGCTGAACAACGGAAAAGCTCTAACCAATGAAACAAGGAGTAAGCAGGCCAATTTCAAAAGCTTGTTAGCTCCTACTCAGGGACAGAGAGCAGATGAGATGAGATTTGAGTGCTTTACTCTGAACTTTAGGTTAGATTTAAAATTATCGATCAGATGAGAGTCATCCCGTTCTGGGCATGGCCACCAGTCCTCTCTCACTTCCAAAGAATGGAAAATCTCTTAGGATTCTCGATACAACTAGAACATGCCCAGGGGACACTTAACAGCTATAGAAACAGCATGAAAACCAGCAGATTAACAGCAGCAAGCCCCATTGTACAAGCTCACGCAGAAGCAATATGTCAGCACTGGTCCCTCCCAGACTGAAGAATTTCGACTGTTGATCTCCAAGTTGCAGAAGCTGTGGTAGAGTCTGTCATGCAATACATAGACTTACTATGATTTGCTGTTCAACTCTAGCTCTCTAGAAATTGCCATCAGCTGCAGAAAAGCTTTATGAGAAAAAGTTGACTTGTCACAAATCACTCATCTATGTCTATCTGGAAAAATACCCAACCAAAGTTCCAACACGGATTAGATGGAAGTGACTGGTTAGCTCCTAGAGAAACCTCTGAGTAAGCAGCACTCTTCAACGCCTCCTGGCAGGAGGTACCTGTAGCCAGCATACAGTTACAACATCCACTGAAGGGACCATTTAGAGGCTCAACTGGAAACAAGGCAACCAAAGTTCTCTTAAAACTAGTCACTGAGGTTTGCTGTAAGAAACACAGACGTCAGTTACTTGCAAAGCTTTAGGGAGTACGGATTCACAAGGATTTCTCAAGATGAAACACTTAACGGCTTCTACATGCCTGTGAGGAGGGTGAAGAACAGTTAGGACCAGTAAACCAAGGTGCTCTCAACCCTCTAGAAGGTCTCCAATGGGGAGGAGTGGAGTTACTGACTTTCCTAGCTTTTATGTAGACTCAGAGACACACCAACTCCCTCAGAATTCTTTTGGAAACCTTGAACAAAAGGGAGTGACAGAGAGTAACGTGGACTGGTGTAACAAATTGGTTCCCTCCACTTTCTTACAGGACTGATAGTTTTGAAGTTGGATGTCCTTAAGCAAGGCCAGGTAGCTACATGAATTACCCTCAGGAAGGCTTGAAAAGCAAAGGTGCTATTCAGGCTGAACCAAGAACTCGGCACTCACTTCAGAGCAGGTGAGGCTCCTTATGTAAAGCTCTGAAATGAGGCAAATATGATTCATGTTTGGTTTGTAGCTTCCAGGCACAGAGTTTCTAAGTGTATTTGTTGTTAAATAAATACAGACACCAAGTTCAAGACGCACTCCCACAAAGCTGTTAGATTATTTGTTCTCCTGAATTATGCATTACCTTCACTTGGTATGCAATTTTTCTAACAAAAATACCCCACAAAGCCCCAAATTCCAGCATGTCTATATGCCATATGGACAAGCTTCTCCAACCGTCTGCTCCTCATGGAAATTCTATTTGTTTTCCTATTGATTTTATTATGTTTAACAGCATACTAAATCATTCCTGAGGTTGACAAGTTTCTGGAAAATTGATATATGCTGTCTAAAACTGCCTGAGGCAGGAATAAAACCAAAACAAATGGCTTCTTTTAAACTCTTGATTTGCATTACTACAGCCAGGCATACAAGTGCCATCTTGTTTGGTAGAAGAATTCTTCTCCTTCGTCTAACATCTAAAGCACAGGAAATCTTTAGAAGATCTTCTTATGGGTCTGCATATCGGAGGAAGGCAATTGCAAAATATCAGACTATTTGAGTGAGGGCGGGACTAAAAAACCAGATTGTCAGCTAAGATCAATGGGCCAGATTCTCTTGTGCAGAGGTAGAATGGTGAGTAGATGCCTTGGAATCTACAGCTTAAGGCAAAAGTAAAATTTTTAGTGAGACTTAAAGAGTTGTATTTAATTCCTCCCCTGAGAAACTGTACTTTGAAGTATTTAAGTAAGATCAGGATGAAGCAGGGTTTTTGTTTTTTAAATCTTGGAGGCATCACTATTAAGCACTACAGAATTTGTTCCAAAGATTGGACTGCCTCATGAAGAGCATCTCCAATCAGAAAAAGCACCCAGCCAGTAATTTTTTCTTGGTTCATAAACTAAAGGGGCAGATGAATTAGAGAAAACAGTCTTGATGCTTTGATGCCAGAAATCTGAAAGCCGCAAGAGTTCAAGAAGAGAGAATTTAAGAATCTCCAAAGGTCTGCCAAAAACTGAGAAGGTCATATGAACACACTCATCCTTGTTAGACTCTCACTAGGCTGTTATGTAAGGGAAAAAAAAAGAACTTGCACAGAAAAAATATTTTTGTGGGAAAGTAGTTAATACACTGGATTAGCTGACAAATAATGGGATTACATTTGCAGAACTGAAGACATTTATGACACTAAGTCATAAACTTCCCATTTTGGTGTGATGAAAAAAAAATCAGAGATAGAGATGACATTTTCCAATAGTCCCTGTAATGCCACAGAATAACGTTCTGAGTTCCCACTAAGGAGAAAACAAACTAGCTCACGAGTAAATAAGCTGATTTGTCGGTCAGTCCTCTGAGTAGGCAAGAGTCCTCCTGTGAATTAACAGTGAGAAACAGTCTCAAGGAGATGTCTTTCATTTAGGGAATTTTATGATCATCTACGAGATATACACAAAAATTCAGAAGATGCTACAGTCCCCATGATATTAAAAATTAAAAAAATGAATTTCAGTAACAAAATAGTACAAAAAGAGAAAACATTCTTCATCCTAGCTCACTGAAATGAGCTTCAAGAGAAGATTAAGTTTATCTCCTTCTTAAAGAAGGCCAAGCAAATTCAGTTTATTTGCTATACGTGTTTGTGCTCATCTGTTAAAGACAGGAGTTTCTGCCAACTTACAGTTGAGTTTGATGACTTCACAGGAACAAACGTCCAATACACTAAAAATTCTGTGGAAAGGCCACACACATCTGCTGTTGCTGGAGGCTCTTCTGCCACTATACCATTGCCTGTCCTTTGTAAACTTGGCCAAATTGGTAAACCCTTTGAAACACCACAAAAACAAAAAGTCTCTAGGTGGAAGAAAAAAACCTCATGTGCTAGGCACTCCTAGCAGGAAACAACGAGCATTCTTATTAAAACAGAAGTCCAGAAAAGCTTTGCAAGCATGAACACAACAGTAAAAAGTTTTTTTTTTTTAGGGAGAATCATGCCTTCATGAGCATAGTGTGTGAAGAAAAGCATTGAAAAGTCGTTCTCCACTCAAAACAGGCAGAAAAATCCATTATATCAAAGATGGAAAAAAAATAAATGTTGAGTTGAAGGAGTCCAAGAGAGACTAGAACTATTTTATTAAATCAGGAACAACATCAGGCCATGGGCTGTAGTCCAGTATTAAAGCTCAAGAAAGTGCATACCATTCAGCAGGCGAGACAAGTGCATCCTCACAAGCTGCATCCTTAAGGTAAAGTGTTACTGATGGAGCACATTTTGGAGAGAAAGAAAACTAGGACTTAAATCACGTGTAGAACCAGTACACTGAGAAAAGATGGCCCGAACTGTTTTTATTTTGCACAAGTATAGAAGAACATAAATGTCTTTTGACACCTTTGAGCAAAGTTCCTTAAACCCCAAGGTACATCCAAGTGTGTTAATCAACAACTGAACGAGCAATAAGACAGGTAAACAGACCTTCTAACAATGCTCAAATAAATTAAAGCCAAATATTTCTGAACCATCAATACTATTAAAAAGTACTCTTCTTCCAGCCTACTTTTGAAGCGATGTCATCACCGACTAACTTAGAGAGATCACTTTTTTTTTTTTTTTTTTTACAACTAGGTACCCTCTTTTAGACTCTCAAGCAGAAAACAGGCAAACGGAATAGCTGCTTTTTGAAGGGGAGCAGTAGATGTGTCTGATCGTGCAGTACTGACTAAAGATTGAGACAGCAAATCTTGCACAGACAGAACAGATAAGAGATCTGTCTGATAGTCCACTGGAAGTTCATTTGTTCTGCAGACAAAATAACAAGGTTGCTTGGAGGTAATCCAATAAACTGTTCCAGCAATTATTAACAAAAACGATTCAAAAAATGTGGAAAAACTGTTAGATTAAAAAAAAAAGAAAGCAAGGCTGAAGGTTTCAAATTTTGTTCGTTTTCAATGCACTCACTCAACGACTGAATCTCCAGAACCTTGCTGACATTACTTAACCTTTAAAATGAAGGCTCAATCATAAAACCCCCCCTCATAAAACCCGAATAAGATCCAACGTTATCCTTAGTCTAGGAATATCGACATTAAGCACTTTAACTTCCACTCTTTCTCCAGGACCTAACCCCAGGCTTCTTCTCTTCTTCACTTTAGAAAGTTTTGCTTCTGTTATGTTTCGCACTGGAATCAAACCTGCTTTTCCCACACCGATGTCAACAAAAACTCCAAATGGCGTTGCATTTTCAACTTTTCCAGTCAGAACAGTACCAACACTTAAGTCTTCCAAGCAGACAATGCTTCTCTTGAAGTCAGGTTTATCAAAATCTGTTGTAAGAAACAAGAAACAAAAAATTAAGACACTGGAGAAAAAGCTTCCATTATTTTCTAAGGGTTGTTTCCAGCTGTGTTTCCAGCTGACTGTTTCTCAATAAGAAATCATCGCAGGGTAGCTTTAAGGTCCCAAATACTGCTTCAATATGTTTTTTAAATAAAGACCCATCTGTGATAAACAACTTATTTCTTGTATTTTATGAATCGCTTGAAAAGACTATGATTAATGGAGTAATAAGAATAGTGAACTCTGTGGCATGAAACTATCAGAAAGGGATCAGAAGCGTGTAGTATATTAGCTAGTGACTGAAAGTCTCTTGAGCTATGGAGAAAAGACTTGAGGTGACTCTTACTTGAGCTACAGAAATGATATGTAAAATTCTATTCTTACACGAATTTGTATACAGGGAAGTGAATACGCAGGCTCATCACATACTAAAGAGATAAGTCAACAATGCACTGTTCTTTGGCTTGCTGTTCATCTGCACCATGACATCACACAATCAATTGCTTCCCGTGACATCACACAATCAACTGCTTCTTTGCACTGACAACTTGAAAATCACAGACGCATGATTATAAGCAGATAATATTCAAATATATTAAAGTTCACATTCTGCATTTAAGGGCACAGACAGATCACACTCATAGAATAGTTTGGGTTGGAAGGGACCTTTTAAGGTCATCTAGTCCAATGCCCC